TTTCATGTCATTCCAGTAAAAGTACTGGACCATAATGGAGATATTTCATGTCATTCCAGTAAAAGTGCTGGTTCATTATATAATGGAGACATTTCATGTCATTCCAGTAAAAGTAGTGGTTCATAATATAATGGAGACATTTCATGTCAGTCTAGTAAAGTACTGGACCATAATAGAGTCACTATGTGTCAGTTGAGCATAATACTGGTCCATTAAAATAGAGACAATTTGAGTCAGTCCAGTGATGTACCAGTGTACCAGTAGCACTGATCTGTGATAAGGCACTCAAGTGGAGTAGCATTCCTATAACATATAGGCATGCACCTGTTGGCTGTATCTAGTCAACTGTTGCATGTTCATTAATTTAAACTGCACTACAAGCATAAACAGAAACTATTTCAACTCATCATAAACCAGGAAATTCTAAAAACAAAAAACATACAGTCACCTATACTTGGCCTCCGAGAACCTGGACTGGATGGTGTTTTAAGCATGTTCCTTGTTCACTGTCTGTTGTTTTCAACAAACATTAGAATTGGTAGGTGTAACATACTGACTGCACAATAAGTCTATAACACGCTGACCTATGATAACCTCAGTTCCATGGGGGCACCATTAATAACCCAAACCTAACCTTGTCAACTGAAGCATAATACAAATCATTTACCTGCAGTCATGACAACCAACATGTTGTAATTCAGAATTCAATAAAACTGAGTTTCGATTTAGCAGGTGAATTATTAATTAAGTGACAATCTTGTATTGATTGTATTCAGAGCAGAAAAATGTAGGCACGCAAAAGACTTGTGATTACCCACAATGCAATGCACAAACTAATTAGTATATCATGTGTGCATATGTTCAGATGAGCTGGTTACACACTGGTTACACATTTTGATCATACACTGACTACCTTACATAGGAAAGTACACTTTACCAGCCCAAAAAAGTGTTTTAATCTCAGAACATTTGTTTCACGCCCTCTAGTGTCCAATTTTGTGATCTCCAACTTTATAGTTGAGGGCGCTATTTGAGAAGTCAATTACAACTGGATTAAATAGTCTAACAAACAAGTAAAGAAATAATATACAAGTGTCATGTGAAATGAACCTCATGAACTTCATTTTACAAAAGACAATTCTTAAAATTATGTATTCTCCACTGTACAAAGAACACATCAGATCACAGAAAGAATGATTTATGAACCTCAATGTATTCTCGGGGCGGACATTCAGGCATTTTCTACCACCTGGCAACCCTCGCAGTGAAAACAAAGACCAAAAACTCGCAGAAAACGGTACTTTGCGATGGTTGTTGAGAGTCCCCTGAACAGTGTAACAAGATTAGCCCTACGTGTGTAACATATATGAATTTGGTTGTTCAGGATTACTTCAAAGTTGAGTTTGTGTTGTTTTCTCGAGTTTTCACCGGCTCCACCGGCGTTCCACAGCAGCGCGCACAGAGCCCATAGAAATATGTGGTACAGTGGTGCGCGTCTTAGCAACGTAGAACGTCCGTGACGTAGCTCCGCCCCCGAGTATAGAGTGATATAAGGTGTGTTCGAAATATACTTCACTGCCTTTCATTCTGCATTTTAACAATTTTGAAAAAAAAAATACAGCAGCAATCTTGATAATTTTATAACACCACATTTAAATAGGCCGCAAGGTTGTGTGTTTTTTTTTCTTTTTTACTGACATGACTTGGGGAAGATAGGGGATGCCACGAAAAAAAAAATTTGGGGGATTGAAATAAGAGGAATTTTCACTGCAGATTATGCTCAAAACTTGTAATTTTGCATTTTTACCCCCCAAAAAATGTTCCAGGTGCACATTAATTTGGCAAGCGAGTGGAAACAAGAAACAGACTTTTTTCCTGGACTAAAAGATGACCCAATATTCAGTTGAAATTGAAAACTTGCCTATACATTGACCAAGGTTGGAGAATACCTATCCCAAGTACCTGTGCCTAGCAAGATAAAATACAACAATATTTGAAATAAAATTGTTGTTCTTCCATTCAGCCTAAACAGAAAAGGTACTGCATAGGGGTGATGATTAAGTGGCTTCTGTGATGATATACAACTACACAATTAGAACAAATAAGTGTTATCTCCAGCTTTGGATGACAGACAGACATACATCTAACGATATCTACACTTGCTAAAATATTCAATGAAGGCAAAGTTACTCAATAAAACATACATTATTACATGTCAAGATAATGGAATTTTAACTACTTTATTGGATTGTGTACCTTAGGTTTTTTATTAAAGCTACTGACATCAGAAACTAATTTATTTCATCTTGTATTATCGGCATTGTAATTATAGAAAATTAAATTTCCCAGGGACAGACCAATATGCTTTAGAGCGAGTTGTCTGAATTAGAATAATTTGCATTTTGTTAATTTTGAGCCTAGCCCATAATTGCTAGCTGCACTTCCTAAGATTAAGGAAGGAATTTTTATTTGTTTTTTGGACATCTTCAGAGAAATTGTTTAAACCATTTTATAAGTGGGTCACAAAACCTGGTCGATGAATCATTTTGAAAGCTTGGAGTAAGATATTCTCTATTAATTTTATATGTGAAAATAAATTTATCTGACATTTACTGATTAAAATACAATGTTTGGTTTTCTCCATTTAACTAATAAATAAATGTTTCACTGATTTTTAGAATTACGGTTTATGAGCATAGACAAAAATATATGATAAGGTATTCATTTATAAGTAAATTTTTATTACACTGGAAATTATTATAACATTTTGATTACAACAAACATTCACTGTTTACCATCAAATGGTAATCTCAAAATATGAGATAAACAATTCAGGCAATGAATTCAAAAAGCTTTCTTTCATTGATGTCCTAGGGTGTATTGTATTTCAGAAGAATCAGTGAGTTGAAGGGTCTTTAAAAATCTCCTTACTGTTGCTTTTAAGAATAGAATACAAATTGCAATTATGTTAATAAATGATAGTATTTGGATAATGAATCTTTAATATTATTTTAATATAATTTGACAATAGTGAGAGAGAAAGGGAAATATAATCCCCATGGACATTCATTATATATTTATAAATATTAGTCGATTACTTTTGAACATGAGAATAATATTTTTGTATTAGAGAGCAAAATAAATATTTTATTTAACATAATTCAAAACATAACAGTTTGTTTTTTAAATTTAGTGATTTTACTATTGTAAAACATTATTTGAAAAGAGTTTACTATTGAAATGATCATAACTTTGATGTTGATGAACTAATTAATATTGGTCCAGGGCTGAAATTTACAGAGGCCGTGGGAACAATTGCCTCAGGGCCCACCCGAATGCCTTGATGCAGACAATACTTTCTTTGCAACTTCAATCAGTTCAAGGTATTTTCAGAAATTTTGGCTTTGAAATTGGGTTCCATCAGCATACCAAAGTTTATGAAATTAGATGGCATCAGAATACCAAAGTTCACACCCTACTGATCATAATGCCAATAAGCACATATCCACATAGAAATGGTGCTGAAATGAACAGAACTATGATTACATAGATGTTGATGAACTAATTAATATTGCGGCAGGGCTGAAATTCACAGAGGCTGTGGGAACAATTGCCTCAGGGCCCACCCAAATGCCTTGATGCCTGTCAATACTTTCTTTGTAATTTCGATCAGTCCAAGGCATTTTTAGAAATTTTAGCTTTGAAATTGAACTCCATCTGCTAACCACAGTTCATGCCCCTCTGGTCATAATGCAAATAACCACATAGAAATGGTTCAGTAATTATAAGTTTTTGCTCAAACAATACTTATGATAAAGATAAAATAATTTGGTGTCATTATTATTAGAGAAGAAAAGAATAAAATGAAAAAAAACAGTACATTTTTGCCACATCTGAAAACTAATTACTAGATGAATTGATGGCCTGCTATGCAGAAGACTGTAAGGCAGGCCATATGCTAGTATAATACATACCACATCACATTTACTGAATGGAATGTATTAAACTTTCATACAATAATGTAGGAAAGCAGCATAGTGAAAATATATATTTTAAGTACACAGATCAAGAGATTATAACGATATTTGAATTTCACCCACTTATAAGCGTGATTCCTCGTATTTTTTTCCATGGCGTTGAACCACGACTACTGCCAGCACTTCGTGATGTGGAGGTTTTCCGGGGTGATGCGAGCGGTTTCCTACTTCCAGGGCTTTTAGGAGATTTACTACCTGATGGACTCTTTGGAAGCTGAAGAGATGTTTTTCTGGAACTTGACTCGTTACTAGAAGTATCTTCTTTTTCTATTGTTGGCACTTGCAATAATTTCCACATATTTGCATGAAACTAATTTAACAAGCGTATTAAATTTGACAATGTAGCATATTCTCTGATGATTTCCAATAAAAACACCTGTGTTAATCGATGTTTATTGGCTAGATGAAGCTTTGTGATGTTCCAATAGTAATTCCCAAAGATTTGAATTTCAGTTATTTTTGCAGAGATGAACTTTAACATCATTTGGTAATGCTGTTGCTAGGTAACCTATAATCTTCTGATTCATCTTTTGTATGACTTGAGCAGGAAGATATCAGTACGGAATTGATGAATTCTGTGTGTCCTTAGTAGTCTCAATAATGGCAAATACAATGCAATACATCTAGTGAGCAGTGAGGGATGCTGGCATGTGATGAGATTCACAGCTGAAGTCCTTATGAAATTCAATCAATTGATGATATACGGTAGTTCAGAGCCATAAAATGATATTAAAAAGCTGTTCTATTATTATGTAGCGGATACACAGGACGACTATTGTCTTCTGAAAACTATAACAATGGCGACTTGACTAATGATGAAAGAGTTTACCAAAGTAATGCAATTACCATGTCTTCTTCTTGAATTCTATCACCACTGTTGTCACGTAAATGAATTTTGTTGTTCCTTTCAAATCAGCATGTACAAGTTCTTCATATTGTCTGCTATACTTAACAAGGTACACGTTTTGTACTTTGCTGTGTAGTACTCTGCGCTCAGGTGTTCATGCTAAGACTTATACGTTGACATATCGCAATACTGGTGTATGTTTTAGTCTTTGATGTACCGAAGTAGTAATTCACATCGACTGGACTCAGGTGCAAAGAAAACGACAAACACTCAAATAAACATACACGCATGGACAACTCATGGAACATTCCATAAAATGATAGTAGGGGAGCATGCACAAAGCAATATGACAATACAGTATTGGAGTACTTCATTTTTCACATTTCATAAGAGGGTTCGATAAGACGACATACATGTCAACATGTTAAACTTCTATCAGTACTATTTTTAAAATTTTATTTGTACAAATTAAAATTCCACAAGATAGTTTTTCACATTATTTCATAGGTGATAAAGAGTTGCATTGTATAGAGATAATTATATTCAAGATAGCCACCCCTACTTAAAAGTGTTATAGTCCACAGCTCAATGACATTTTCTAGAAATGCCAAGCATATCATAAAATTAGTTTGTATGCATCAGTAACTAAATATATTATTAATATATTAACAATATTAAGTTTTTCGCTGTGTGTGTGTACATGTGTTAAGGGTATAATGTTTGATGGCTACTTTCCTTCCCCTGCTTGCTATTGTCATATAATATTAAATTGACATCGTATTTTTATTAGTCATTGAAACCACCTGTGTGAATTAAATTAATAATGATGTTCATCTCTATCGCGGTATGTCCCTGGTTTTTAGTTTTAGATAACACCATGAACAATAATGCTCATACATCTTTCAGTGTGTAGATGAACAGATGGACAATTCTTCAAGATACTATAAAAATTCAAGAGATGTTTTAAATTTATCAGTAGTTTGTGCAAGTTGAGTAGCTAATCTACATTTTTCAAGCACACTATACTATATTTTGGCTGGAGGTTGGATTTAAAAATAATAAGTTTCACATCAGATGCTTACTTATGGTGTTGATGAGTTCCATTGTGCTCATACAGTGTAGGATTTCCAAATATAACTCTCATCATATGCTAATTTACCAAGTTCAAAATTTTATATTTGATAATGGAAATTCAAACTAGTCCTGATTCACGGTGTTGATGAGCTCATTCGTGCCACCATCCTTATCTAATTTCAGTAATAACTATTTCATACTGGCCCAATTTTTTTACCATATACAGTCAGAATTCCAAGTTTTTTTAGTCATACTGTTGGAAATCCAACCTCATCAACCGGTATGTGGCGAGATAAACTAGACCATATTTTATTTAGTAGCCATAACTGCCTGGATTTCCAGGAATTTTTTTTCCATACTCGTCTGGATTTCCAGATTCTGTTTCTCCATATACAGTTGGAATTCCGGGGTATTTTCCCTATCATACAGTGCTGGAAATCCGACCACATCAACAGGGGGGTGCAGATATAAACTGGAATGGCCCATTACACGTTACGATTTACTAAAATAAATTTTGTGATTAATTAATTTACAAATGTGAGAAAAGCAATATACCAATAATACCATTGAATATACTAGTATATTCATGTTAATAAATGTCTTTTACTGAATATACAAGTGGCAAACAGTGACTATTACATGCAGCTGGTGATATATATACATGCCATTTATGCATCACCCTTGTTGATGACAGTTATACATGTATGAGGTATGGCAGCCACTTTAGAAAATGACTGACATTATATACCACCATTCATGTTCTTCTCTGAGCTTATATTGAAATGTTTGAAACTGCAATTTTATACTAAATTGCTAGAACCATTAACAAAAACATGTGATATATATAGTGACATTTTAACAGACATTAAAGTGATGAAGTGATACTGAACAAGCTACAATATGCTTTTTTTCAATTTTCTAAAAAGGAAATTGAAGTAGTTATTATAAAGGTGATCTGAGAAGTACCTTATGATTATGAAGTATGTGCAGTACATTGTAATATACACTTAATGCAGAGTATATTGCACAAGACAGTATCTGAGTGACATCATAAGAAACATAATTGAAAAAAAAATCAACATCAATAATCTGTGAATTGACACTGGAAGCAGTTTGATTAGATTAAAGACTTATCTATTTGGCTTTTGACTAAATGTTTTCTCTTTTCATTTTATTTTATCAATACACACAATTTTATCAAATTTCGCCTTGAACATGGGTGCCCTCTCAATACCAAAGTTTTTGTGATTTTGTTTTATTGTAAAAGCCGAACATAGATCAGAACAACTCTCATAGAGAATCTCATTCAAATTTCACAATTTGGAATGTCCACTCAGAATGCATGTTTCAAACAAAGCAGTTCGTGGGCAATATGATGTTGGTATATTGTTTAATTGGTTGAATAAAATTTTCTAAAGTGATTGCATGTACAAGATCTTCTATTAAATGTGGTCAGACTCACATGAGCAGGTAACTGTCAAAATTTAAAGACAACACAAAGCACTTGTACAATATGTCTTGTTTTAAGTAAAATACTGTAAACACAATTTTTTGGGGCAAGTGACACAATTTTTTGCAGTTTGGCATTTTTGCAGAGCAAAAAATCGTTAAATTTGCTATCAAAAGGAATTTATAAAATCTTGATTATTTTCAGAATTCTGAATAATTTTAGAAATTTTACAAGAATTATTATTTTTTCATTTAAAGGATGTCTTTCAAGTTATCGAAAATAACACATCACATGTTTATGACGTATTTTTCCCATTCATTTTGGCTTTCAGTAGCTAACATGTTCAACTAGTTTATACATTTTATATTCTGCAAATTTTGAAGTTTTAAAATCAGCAGCCCATAAAATTCTATTTTCAGCTGTTGTGTTTGAAGCCGAAACATAATATGTGTGTCACACAATATATATATAAGTTTTTCACATATTGTAATATTTATATCGATCAGTAAGGCTGAGATGAGACATATTCAATACATGCAAATATTATATCATTGTTTGATATATATCGACTGATTTTAAATCATTGACCGAATGTAATAACTATTTCCATCTTAACAATGTCAGCCAAATGTTTATTACGTTAATTCACAAGAAAATTGTCATTTCAGTAAAACTGCATTATGTAAACTATTAAAATCAATAAATGATTATGTCAACTGCATTTAATAAGCTTTGTAGACATGATGTGTTTTTATAGTTGTACAGTGACAGACTTAGCACAGTTAATATATGTTACTGACAAGTATACACGATCACTGGTAGCATAGTGGTTGTCGCTTCAGACTCATGATCGGTAGACCCAAGTTCAAATCCTACCATAGACTGAATATCAAAGGGTTGACCCCTACCCTGGGTGAGTGTGCCACAGACTCAATGGGAAGGCCAATTCCACTAGCCGAGATTCATTCACTAACGAATGCAACTTTGGGGGAACCTTGGTTAAGGTCCGCAGGTGCTTGTGTTCGACCGAGCCTGGTTGACGCACAGCCCTGTCATGGAGTCCCAAACATGAATATGACTTCTGTGGAGAAAATGCACTATGTGTCAGCACTAGCACTTGCAATTTGCACATACAAAAAAGACAAGGTCCCATAATGTCTAATGTATATACCAAGTTTGAACAAAATCCATCTGTAAACAGCCGAGAAATGGTTGATTTTTAGGATTTTTTAGCACAAAAATGGCCGCCATTCGGCCATCTTGAATCAGATTGTAAAACAAAATGATGTGCACAAGGTCCTACAATGACTAATGTATATACCAAGTTTGAACAAAATCCATCTGTAAACAGTCGAGAAATGCTTGATTTTGATGATTTTTAGCACAAAAATGGCCGCCATTCGGCCATCTTGAATAATATATATAATATGTATAATATCATGTATGATGTATGTGTGAAGTTTGATTGTGATTGGTCCAGGCATTTCTAAGATAAAGGTCCGGACGCACGCACAGACGGACGCACACACGCACGCACGCACAAACACACGAAGGTCAAAACATTAAGTCCCCGTTTTCGGACTGCATCCAAACGGGGACTAAAAAAGTCAGAAGAGACAACAGTGACACTCAATGTCCAGAACTGTCGCCTGGCACAAAAATATTTAAAAAAAAAAAAAAAAAGTATATATGTAACATGATGTCACAATCAAACAACCAATGGACACTGTCTATTTAAATAAGACATTCCTCAACATGTGTGAATACAGAAAGATTTACCTCTATTCTAAATTATTATTCAAAATATCCAACCTCATCAACCGGTTTGTGGCGAGATAAACTAGGCCATATTTTATTTAGTAGCCATAACTGCCTGGATTTCCAGGAAATTTTTCCATACTCGTCTGGATTTCCAGATTCTGTTTCT